CAACTTTTGGGGCTTCTACTGTAAACCCCTAAACAGATGCAGCTGAGGTGACCAAGCCGACTCCTGAGAAAGTCTTGGGAGACTCCGGGCACTTAGGATACATGGGGTTTCGGGTTTACCTTAAGAACCCAAAACCCACTTTTTTTGTAGGTTCTTATCATAAACCCTAATATGGGATTTATAGGGACCCTACAAAAAAGTAGGTTTTGAGTTCTTAAGGTAGGGTTTACCTTAACCCCAAAGAACCTAATTACCTGTTTAAGGTTTCAGATAAAGCAATCATCGTAATGGATCCCTAGACAGATAGGTTTTACAGGATCCCGGTAGGGGTTTAGGGTTTTGGGTTAGGTATTTAGGATTTGGGGCCCCGGGGTGTAGGATTTGCGGGTTTAGGGGTTAGGTTTCAAGGCTTTGGGTTTAGGGGCAAGGCTGGAGTAGTATTACCTCAAGCTCTAGACGGGCCTTTGATAGCGTTTAAGGCACATTTGTTCTTGATTCCTGGTGAGTTGAGGAAGAACACGGAGGGTTCCTTTATCGTGTTTTTGTGTTTGGGGCCTTGCCCGTGGAGCTTTTCCGGGTTCAGGGGTTGGTATGTTATGTGTTTCGAGTTCAGGGCTTGCGACCTTCGTTAGAGTTCAGCTTTCGAGCAGGGGGTCGTTGCCAGCTTGACCTAGCTTGGTAAGTCCTTAAGTAATCTAGGGGTCTTGTTCGTCAGAGCAGAGCTTCTGGGTACCCTAGAGTATACTACTGCAGAGTATAATGATAAGGAGTCCGTGGGGACAACATCAGCGATGGTTCAGGCTGCCATATTGGACAAGTCCAGCATCCCCCAGACTCTTGTTCCACATTCTGGACGGAGGCCAAAGTCAAAAAGGCCAAGACCGCAATCGGGGCTCGATGCCCTAAACCCTAAACCCTAAACCCTAAACCCTAAACCCTAAACCCCTCTAGCTTCCACTTGTTGCGGAATGTGACATGGCCGTGGAATGGGTGCCAGGGTTCGAGCGCTCTCCCCGGAGATGAAGAGAGGCCCAGAGGGTCCTACGGTTGATGATATAAATCCTGCATTACCCATAATTAGGAGTATACCATAATTCCCATAGTTTAGGGTCCATAAGGTAATGCAGGATTTATATGATCAACAGTAGGTACTGTTCTGGGGGTAGGGTTTAGGGTTTAGGGTTTTGGGTTTGGGGTTTTCTCAAGTCATAATATAAAGATTCCGAATATAGGAACCCTACATACTACCATTTAGGTACTTTGGACCTTTTGAGAGGGGAGGGTGCCGGGGCCTAAGGTTCCCGCGCCGACCTAGCTGCAGAATCGGGCCCACTCCCACAGCCACAGTTCCATGGCCGGCCTTTGAAATTCCTGCACCCCGACATCCCTACCCTAAACTCTACATACACCCTCAACCCTAAACCCTCACCCCAACTAAGCCCATATACCCGGGGGAGATCTGGGGCTAAAGCCGCAAGAACAGTGTCCAGCGGCGGGCTATCTTCAAGTTATTTCCGACACCAGAACAGAAGAGTCTTGGGTTTTCAATACGGCGCTCGCAGTGTGCTTGTTTAGTTTGTGTCGGTTTGGGGTTATGGTTTCTTTTCAGACATATATCTGTTGCGCCCCCCCCCCCCCTCTGTAAGGGGTCGGTTCAATATGGTTTCAACTCGAGCACAAACCCTCCACACAGTCACCAGAACTTAGAGCTTAGATCCTAAGCCCTAAACCCTAAACCCTAAACCGAAGCAAGGTCCGATGAATATGGCGAGGGTCCCCGTGGAATGGCCGGAGAGGAGGCAGCTTCTGGTTCGATTAAGGGTTTTAAGGCTCAGGGTTTAGGGTTTAGGGTTTAGGGCTCCAGGGTTTAGGACTCAGGGTCTTAAGGCTCAGGGTTTAGAGTTTAGGGTTTAGGGCTCAGGGTTTAGGGTTTAGGACTCAGGGTTTAGGGCTCAGGGTTTAGAGTTCGCAGTAGAAGTTAGGACTTACGGTTTAGGGTTTAAGGCTCAGGTTTTAGTGTTTAGGGCTCAGGGTTTAGGGCTCAGGGTTTAGAGTTTGCAGTAGGATTTAGGATTTACGCTTTAAGGTTGGCTAGATTCGGGACCATGAGCTGTAGCCTCTTATGCGCGGAAAACATGCTGCGTAATTCAGGAAGAGCCCTAAAGCCTGAAGCTCCATACCCAGGTCATCCAAAATCCCTTAATTAAGGAATATACTATACCCTCAAATCACTATATGGATCCTACCTTAACTAAGGGTTTTTGGTGGAAGGCCTGGGTACTTTGAGCCTAAAAGTAGGAACCTTAAATCCTATAAAGGCTCACATCCTTAGCCAAATACCTGAACCCTCAGTCGTCTTAGGGTTTAGGGTTTAGTATTTAGGGTTTAGGGTTTAGGGAAGACCACTCCCAAGGCTTCAAGCCCTAAATCCCTAGGCACCAGAACCCAAACCTTCCAACCCATTCCCTAACCCTCCGAATAGGCCAAAGCCGGTATTCTTCGTAGACAGTAAACCTCCCCCAAAGTGTGCATTTCTCGTACACTTGCAGACTCAGTTTTTGAATGTTAAACCCTAAGCCCTAAAACCCCCTAGCCCTAAACCCTAAACCCCTCAACCCTAAACCCTAAATTGGAAATCCTGGGTCTGCCCACACAGGCCGAGAGTGTTATAAACAAGAAACGCACTCCTGAGGGTTCCAGGTGGCCAAACTGTGGGTTTTGAGCTCGGAGTGTAGGGTTTTAGGGGTATAGGATAGGGTATTGGGTTCGCGAGACTACACGGTGAAATGTGTCCAACCCTCTTCTGGTAGTTGGGCCCCTGGAGATGAAATCTGAAGCCTTGAAGCCATGAAGCCTCCCACAACACCCCTCAAACCCTCAACCTCAAACCATTCTCTTCCCTCAACCCTACACCCTAAACCCTAAACCCCACACCCGCAAGCCTAAAAGCTCTGAGAGCATGCAGCGTCCTTACTGGGAGGTACCAGACCAAGCCCTCTTTAGGAAGTCCCCTGGTGCCTTACCCCAAGGCTGCAAGCACTCACATTTTAAGGCTTTTGGGCCCAAATACCGCACCCTAAACCCTAAACCCTAAACCCTAAACCCTAAACCCCAAACCGTACTACATGGGGTTTCAGGACTTTGGGCTACTCCGAGCCTTAGGGCCTTATAGGTTCACGGTGAATACCCCTGGGCATCTTGGATTCACGAACTTGCATAAACGACTTACTTTTAAACCCGTTATAGAGGAACCCCTTAAAGGAACTAACCCCTTATGGGAACTCCTGACAAGAACCACTTATGGTTTTTTTACAGGAACTCCCCTTACATTTAAGGAACTTCTCAAAGGAACCGGTTTAAGGAAAGTCTTGAAGGAGCCCCTTAAACAAACTCCCCTGAAGCCTAAACCCCAAACCCTAAACTAGACCCTAAGCCCTAAACCCTAAACCCTCTAAGCCCTAAACTGCCCTAACACCACAACAAAGATAAACCCCCAAGCCTAAAGTATGCCTCAGCTCAGGAGGCGGGGGCCCCGCGGCGTCCACCCCCCGGCCCGCCAGTTGAGCTCAGAAGGCCTTGGCCTAAGCTTTCGGGGGTTAGGGATTAGGGCTCAAGGGTTTAAGGGCTTAGGGTTTAAGGTTCCCCCAAATCCTTGAAAGCCATACCTTTCTAGGGTTCACTACATATGGGATTTTCCTCTAAGGCCTGAGCCCTAAACCTTGAGCCCTAAACACGCATTCGGAGGTGAGAGAATAGCTGTAGCCGAAATGACCGAGACGTTCCTTCCGAGATCCTAACCCTAAACCCTAAACCCTAAACCCTCAACCGGGCAAAAAAGCAGACCCTGAGCCCTGCAGGCACTCCGTGCTCATGGTGTGCCGCTCTTTGCTTGGAAAGGTGGGGCCTTTACTTCACCCTAAGGGTCCATGTACCCAAATCGTAGATACTTTGGCCCCAAAGTAGCCAAATAGGGACTACTTTGGGTACATGGACCCTTAGGGTCAGTTGTCAGGGGAATTAGGAAGTCAGTACGCGCTGCAAATTCGGGGTCAAAGCTCAGCCGCGAACATTACTGGAATGCCCTGTCTTGTGCTTTCTACAGCACCCCAATGACAAATGTTTTGGGACTTACATGACGGTGGTTTACATGAGTACTAACCTTCCGGAAGTCACGACCTCAAAAAGTTGGACAGCCCCATTTTGCCAATGGCATATGGGGTTTCCGAATTTTTCCGATTCCTTCCGTCGTGGTCAGAACCATGCGGATGTTATTCCGAAGGCTTTGATTTGCAATTTGCGGCAAGTGGAACGTTAAACCTTCAAGGTCGCATTGACTGGCGTGCTTCGCGGTTGGAAACGTGTGTTTCACGCTTGTCATATGACTCTCAAGAGTATCTGTGGCGGCCTTGCTTCTTGTTCTTGTGAGAATGAGAAGCCCGCATTTCATTGTGCCAGGAATTCAGAACAATTAACTGATGGAACCATCTTGGTAACCTTGGCAATGGCAATCTTGGTCAGCCGGGGGGGGAGCAAGATTGCCAAGCAATCTTCCACTTGCCCCATTTGATCGCCGACTACTTTACCTTTTGGAGACCAAGATTGCAAGATTGCTTCGCAATCATGCTCCCCCCCTTTGCAATCTTGGTCTGTATAAAAGCTAGACCAGTCGGCGAGAGCAACATTGCAAGATTGCTTGGCAATCTTGCTCAAATAATGTTCTAGATTTTTCGGCACACTGCCCCGATTGGATTGAGGAAGTGGCGAGCACTTTGGCCACAGATGCCGTGGATCCTGAAGCAGTGCCTATTCGAATTCCATTTCCTTCCAGAAGATTCTTGTTGTCTTAAATACTATCCCCCCCTGGGGAACTAAGAACTTAGAGATTAAGGTTTTGGGGGCCGCACATAATGCGATGATCCTACATAAGACTGTTGAGCGATGTTTAGCCTCTGGGTATCCCCCTCCTACCAGTGGCTGAAACCAGACTGATTGCATCCCGGCTGTTTGTTCTGGCAGATTGAGTGATGACACATGCAAATATTTCAAGCGTCCGAGGGTGTAATACAGTGACCTTACTAGTTGGAATAGGGTTTGGGGTCTATTGTACTATAATTACAGTCAAACCCTATTATAATTATTAAGGCCCCCACAATTCGGGCCTGGTTTCGGGTTTTGGGGTTTTGAGGTTTGGGTTGTTTGGGCTTTAGGCAGTTTGTGTTTTCAAGGACATTGCAGAGGCCTGCCGTTTTCGAATAACACGTAAAGTACACGAGAAACAGGGCCTCCAGCATGTCCCATTCTCTTCTGTTTTAGGGTTCAGAGCTTGAGGGTTCAAGGTGATTTAAGTTTTGTCTTGGGCATGGGATCCGTGAGTACAGCCCAGGGACTCCACGACCCCTGACATGGATAGGAGCCTTAAGCTCGTTGATAAAAAAACCCTAAACCCTAAACCCTAAACCCTAAACCCTAAACCCTAAACCCTAAAGCCCCCATAAGGCCCTAAAGCACGAGTGGAGGTCCGCTATACGGACGAAGATCGGCCATCCGCGGACGCTTTGCAGCGCAGTTGCCTCGGGGAGGCCGTCCGGAAGGGTTACTTGGAGGCCCAGGGGACTTAGTAAGGTTTAGGGTTTAGGGTTTAGGGTTTAGGGTTTAGGCCCAGGGGACTTAGTATGTAGGTTATAAGTAGAGTTATAAGTACCCTAAATGGACTTATCCCAATTATAACCCTGCTTATAACCGACTTACTAAGTCCCCTGGGCCTCCAAGTAAGTTTTCAGGGTTGGGGTTTTAGGGTTTAGGGGTTCGGCTTTGGGGTCTTCGGGTTCAGGTTTAGGGTCCATTTTGTTTAGTTTTTAGGGCTTTGGGTTTAGGGTTTAGGGCTTAGGGTTTTTTTCTTAGTGTTTTAGTGTTTAGGCTTTAGGGTTTAGGGTCTTAGGGTTCAGGGGTGTATGGAGTTAGGAAGGGCTGACCTTAAACTACCATATCCTACCTTTATGTATAGGTTCTTCTTCTGAACCCCCTTGATATAGAAGCTTTTTAGGGCCCTAATATAAGCCCTAATGACCGAGAGGGTCCAAAGAATGACCATTCCAATCATGGTTTCGGGGACCTAATTCCATCATTATGGTAGCAAGAACCAACACCCTCTTGGATAACCTGCCTTTTTTGATTGGCCCCCCTTATGAGCCCTAACTTAGACTTTCTAGCGTTTTGGGAGGTTAAGGCAGGGTTTAGACGGTTTAGAGTCTGAAACACTAGAGATCGAATGCCCCGAGGGGAGGGTTTTGGGTTCCTTACAAGGGCTGAGGGCACCTGGAAGCGATAAAGCTGAATATGCAAGCCTAACCCTGAATTATACACCCTTTAGAACCCTACGCCCTGTACCAAATCAGAACGACCGTAAGAAGACTCAGCTAAAATCCGTGTACAACTTCAAGAAGGCCTGTTGAACAAACTTGCGGCCCTGACCCTTGTCCAAGAGGGCGACAGTCTTTTTCTTGTTCATTTTGATATCATACTTGATTTCAATTTACAATTCGGTTCTGGTTTGCGTCAGTTTGATTTTTCAATTGTTTGTGCACGTTTATCTGAAGTGTTCGGACCCCTAAAACACCAAAATTTTTACCGGGCCCTTAAACCCTAAACCCGAAACCCTATAAACCCTAAACCCTAAAGGGCCCTTTTGGGGACCCCGGGTAGGGGAGACACAGCCCCAGGCCGCTTCCTACGACTCGGTGCTCGGGGATCGGCTGAAGATCCATGGGACCTTCCGGGAGTTCGTCCTGTGACCCTGAGGAGTTTCTCAGCGATTTGTTTCGGGTTTCTGAGTGTTTCTTAGAGTATATAAGCTTCAAATTTCGGAGTTTAGGGTTTGGGGTTTCTGAGTGTTTCTTGGAGTACTTAAGCTTCAAATTTAGGAGTTTAGGAGTTAAGTGTAAAGATTTCGGGTGTTTGGGGTATAGATTTCCGGATTTCTGGGGTTAGAGCTTAGGGTGTAGAGCGGCCCATACCTTCACTTTAGGTGTTCAGGTTTTCGGCTCAGATGATTTCGTTTGGAGGCGGAAGAAGGCAAACCCTAAACCCCAAACCCTGAAGCCTAAACCCTAGACCCTAAACCCTAGACCCCAAACCCCGAACCCGCAACCCTGAACCCTAAAAGAGGGGGCCGGTCTTCAACCTTGAGGCCACAGGAGTTTTATGGGCAGTGCTCTAAACTAGGGTCCTTTTTGGGGCCCCCCAAGAGAGTACGGCACCTTATTAAAAAGGACCCTAAAGGGGACCCAAGTTTGGAGAGCCATCCTTATGTTTCGGGTTTAGGGTTTAGTTTTTAGGGTTTAGGGTTTAGGGTTTAGGGTTTTCATTCCTTTAAGGGAGAGTTGGGAGGCTTGGGGAGTTCGATCTTTAGGAAATTCAGAGGGTGACTCCTCTGAAAGTATCAGTATGTTTTGGAGTAGGGGAAGGGTAGACGGGACGTGGGAGGGTTTAGGATCCATTTTGGGAATTTTCATTTATGTTTAGACGGGGGGGGGGGAGGGTGGAGTTTTTCGTTTAACGGGGATAGGGTTTCGGGAGCACTGTAAGCATTCACAATCGAACTGCTGCCTCGACATGCTTCGATCTTGCTCGAACTTTGGTACTTGGAGGCCCAGGGGACTTAGTAAGTAGGTTATAAGTAGAGTTATAAGTACCCTAAATGGACTTATCCCAATTATAACCCTGCTTATAACCGACTTACTAAGTCCCCTGGGCCTCCAAGTAGGGAGGGCTCTCAATCCCTGTGCGAGGTACCACGATGATCAGGTGTCCGACCGAGCTTGTCACGAGAAGCGCATCAATCTAGAGCGTGTGACTGCGTGGGATGCATGCAAACCCTAAGGCTCCATGTACCCNNGATACTTAGGCTTTAAAGTACCTATAGGTACTTTAAAGCCTAAGTATCTACTATATGGGTACATGGAGCCTTAGGGAAAGCTGTTTCCCAACAAGGATCTTGTTAGTTTCCAGGACTGCTGAGTATGGACATGTACACATGACTCTATGCCTCTTCGATTGTGTGTTTACTCGTGCTACGTGGGTACATTTGTATATCAGTGCTCTCTTGGAACGAAGCGTGATGTAATGGCTTTTGGCAGTTTGTTCAGGTGGCCTCTTTTGCAGGATTTGGGGGTTTCTGAAAATAGGGGACCCTAATATAGTACCCTAAATAATAGGATCCTTAATATAAGGAACCCAAAATAAGGTACCCCTAATTTTCGGAAACCCCCATTTGGCATGGGGTGTTCAAAGCATCAGGCTGTGGGGCGTGAAAATGCATGCCCGCACCTTATAAGGGCCCATGTGCCCGAATAGTATCTACTTTGGCCTGAAAGAGTGGTCCCTGTTTGGGTACGTTGGGGCCAGAGTTGGCTTAAAGTATATAGTCCCTCTTTGGGTATTTTGGGGCCAAAGTAAGTATCGCTATTTGCATACTGCCACCCCCGGGCCCTGATATCGAAGGAGGGATGGTCTGTAGGAGCCTAGCTAGTCGTAGAGTAGATAACCTTCAACCTTCTGGGGACGTGCTATAAACGCTATACAATCCCAAAGGTTAACCTTTAGTTCCGCTAGGGTACTGGACACATCAACCTTGTACCATACTGGTAGCAGGTCTAAACTCTAAATCCTAAGCGCTAAACGCCAAGCTCTAAACCCTGAACCCTAAACCTCTAAACCCTAAACCCTAAACCCTAAACCCTAAACCCTAAACCACCACCGACCTTCAGTTCCTTGGCTAGATTGGAGCCCTGCCCCAGACCCTGAAAGCCCCAAACTTCCTGATCCTGAACATTCTTGGGGTTTAGGGTTTAGGGTTTAGGGTCGTGATAGTTAATATAGAAGCCTAAACGATTTCCTCAACTATTTTCGGGGTTCCTTATCCTAATTATAGTATAATGGGCCCCAAAACCCTATTCTAATTATCAAGGCCCCTACATTATGCTATGCTCCAAAATCTCAAGTCACTTGTTCTGGCTCGATATTATAGTATCCAATATAGGAATCCCTGAAGGAAGACTGAAACCCCAAAGCCCACACAAGCCTAAAAATCCAAAACCCGAAGGCCCTGTACAATCCAAAAGGGAACCATTACAATTCACCATGATGGGAATTGTTCAGGAACCCTAAAACCTAAACCCAAAACCCTAAACCCTAAACCCTCAGGAACCCTAAACCCTAAACCCTATCCTGAAGGTCTATCCGGAGTTCATCGTCGTTTACGAGCGGAAGTTCTTCCACGAACGATTTCAGGCCAAAGCTCGGGGCATATGGATCGTTCTCTAACTCAGGGGTTTAGGGTTTAGGGTTTTAGGGTTTAGGGTTTAGGGTTTAGGGTTTAGGGTTTAGGGTTGTGTCGGGGTTCAGCTTCTCTTCACTTCTACTCTTTCTCCCTTCTTTGTTCCTGTCCCTTTAGGGTTATAGGATGTTATAGGTGAGTGACAGGAACGAACGTAGGACAAAACTAGCAAATTAATTTAACGAAACACATGAAAGAAAACGAGGAATGCGTGGTTCTTTCGGTTGCCTTGATGTTGTGAATTTGGGGCGTTGTTGTGTCCTTTGCCCCTTGTGGCTTAAATAAGCGCAATGAAATGAAGCAACCATCGCACATACCTTTGCCTTGTTGTTCTTTTCATTCTATTAATGAAGCCACAGGAGCCAAAGGTGATTCTGATGTTGTTCGAAAACAGTTGTAACTCCAAGAATTAATTCGTTTCTTGATTTCGTTCGTATGCTGCGTGTTCTTAATTGGTTCAAGCACGCATTCACTTTATTTCAGTCCGTTCGCTTTTCATTGTTTCAGCAAAAGAACACAGCATGAATTCACTTCATATTGTACATCATGAGCTCAACATCTTGTTGGCCATTAGAGGAAAGCATATCCCTGTTTCGTTCATATTGTGCTTTGCTCCATTGTAAAGGAGCATGCTTCCGTGCCCTCATTATCTTCTCTCAATTGAAGCAGAGCCGTTTTTGTTCGCTTCATGTCTTATTTCGTTCGCTTGTTGTTTCATGTTCTTCGTTGTTGCGTGTTTACATTTCTTTCACTTCATTCACTCATATCATTACATTGCAAACAAAGAAGGAGAAGGTGAAACAAAATGGTCTCTTCATTCTTCATCACCTCCAAGACTCGCTCGCACCTATGATGGTAAGTCTAATGGCTTGAAATAATGGGATGCGATGGAAACAAGACTTGCAAACAGAGGTTCGGTCATTGTGCCTCACGTGTAGTGGTAAGATTCGTGAGTCATTCCAGATCATAATATCCTTAATTACCAGGATTCTTTGTTACCTTTAAGATCCTCTCTGCATTCCAGGAACTAGCCGCTTGAAACACACGAGCCCTTATGACCGGCGAGCTCTCCCATTTAAATCCAGGTCTTCTTGGGTTACTACTTGTGTCCTGGTTGTGAGCAGTTAACCTATACTGTTCTTTGTGGGTTTACCATAGGTGTATTAGGTGTATCCTCTGATTGAGTTGAGTTAAACCCCCGCACATCCAGGAGATTCTTTGTGCTTTCGTTTACTGTTGTTTCGCTATGATGAAATGAAGGAATGAAATGAGAGCGTTTGCAAAACAAGTAAACGACACGAAGCAAATAAAATAGGAGCGTACTGAGGTGACATGAAGATAGAAGTTACGCCAAGGAATTAATGGTACAATTCTAGGAATCTCAGATCACATAAAAATCCCTGTGTTTTAATTTACGTTTCATGTCACTTTACTCAATTTTGCGTTCTTTTCAAAGGGCTCCTATAGGGGTAGTTCTCTAGATTCGGGTCCCTGTTGGGGTTCCTTAAACGGATCTATAGGGGGGCTTTCCGTTGAGTTCCTAACGGGAGGGTTCTATATGGGTAGCACTAGGTATCGATTTTGGATAATGTTCAATGTCCCTCTTGTTTGATACAGAGCTCTCATTATGAATAATTCTGTGGACTGCTGAAATCGACACCTTGTTTGAAGCCTGAAATAAGCCAAGCCCTGTAGGTTGATTATGGTTGGGGGGTTTACGGGTTTAGGGTTCAGGGCTTGAGCCCAAGAAGCCTCAACCAGACAAAGCTTCGATACCAAAAATGTGAGGGCCCTCAACTTTCAATCAAGGTTTTCAGATTTGAGGCTGCGGCAGCTCATGGGAGAGTGCCTGTCAGCCAAGAGGCTGGTAATATCTATGCACTTAGCATGGTCGAATACATAAAATGCTGCTCTTATTCATTTTTGAAAGCTTGCTTAGTCCAAATTCCAAAAAACTTTCTCAAGCAGGCAGCGAGAGAGAGGGAAAGCCAGAGAACGCCAGGGCGAGAGAGAGGAGAGTGAGCGAGAGAGAGTGAGAGAGGCAGAGAGAGAGAGAGGGAGGGAGGGAGAGGTGTATATATATATATACATATATACACACACAGTGTGCGTATATATGTATATATATATATATCTATCTATCTATACATACATACACATATGCAGAACAGGCCCCAGGTGGATGATACGAAACTTGTGCGCGTGTGTGAGTGATCGACAGATGCATGAAGTGTAGTGGACTTGAAGGTGCCGCTCTACTGAGGGCTGCATCCCTCCATGCTGAACTCCCAGGGTCCTAGGCCTCCTGGGCGGGGAGCCTCTATATACAGATACATATATATATATACATATATATATGTACACATACACACATA